TTCCCAATATATATAAGTGGGCAGAAACTCTTTGCTAGTTTATTATTTGTGTATGTTTAGATATTTATTAATGCATCATCCGCATATTATATTATATTCCCGGACAAATCGTGGTTACAATTATCATTAATCCCCCCCAAAAAAAAGGAATAGAGAAGAGATGTTGGCATTGATGTCTATCTTAGAACTATGTTAAAGCAATACAAATTTTGCAACACATGTTGGTCATCGGAGGATTTTCAAGTCGATATAAGGAGACCAAAGGATTCATCCCACTGATGTGAGAAAAGAAGACCAAGCAAGGGTATTTTATTCAGAATAAAAAATATAGCAACTCCAGTATATCCTATATTCTGAATCAGTGAGCTTACAGAGAAAAGATGGGGAGTTGACTCAAATAGAACAGTTCTACAGTTAGTCAGCCCAACTCTTGATTAAGAAAAAGATTAGTTGATATGTCCTTACCTTGCACCAAAAGGTTGTGACTTTTTCAAGAGCTGAATAATTCTTAATGCATATTATAAAGAAAAGATTAGGTGGATCAAGCACCAAAGTCAGAATCAATCTTGAAGAAAATTGCCTATGTCATTGGCAGCTTGTTTATAATTGTGCATATTTGTCAATTTTAGTCATTTTTTTGTCAATATACCATGCAGTGGTGCTCCAATACCAAAAACAACATTTCAGAGAGGTCTCATCTTTTGGTTTTTGACATTTTGCAGAATGGAAATTTTCGCAGCAAGTTTTAACTTGCACACCTTTCCGGCTATCCATACTGTGTTTCTTGTGTTTCTATTCCCATTTTCTCTCCAACAGGCTGCATCTGCCGCTTTTCTTGGCAATGAAACTGATAAACTTGCCTTACTTGGATTCAAGTCCCAAATAACTGAGGATCCATCAAGAGTTTTCATCTCTTGGAATGATTCTGTTCATTTCTGTCAGTGGACTGGAGTAAAATGTGGCCTGAGACACGGAAGAGTCATCCGTTTGAATCTCAAAGGGATGAGGCTGGCAGGTATGATCTCAGGTCATCTAGGAAACCTCTCTTTTCTTAATTCGCTTGACCTCGCAGAAAATGCCTTCCATGACAAAATTCCTCAACTCAGCAGGCTGTCAAGGCTTCAAAACCTGAATTTGAGTTTCAACTATTTAACAGGGGAAATTCCAGTTAATCTATCACATTGTGTTAAGCTCAAGAACCTTGTCCTGGACCACAACACCCTTGTGGGACAGATTCCTAACCAAGTTGGATCTTTAACGAAGTTAGTGAAACTGTATCTCAGAAATAACAACCTGACAGGACACTTTCCAGGTTCTATTGGAAATCTTACATCTTTAGAAGAGTTGTATTTATCGTACAATAATCTAGAGGGACAAGTGCCAGCTTCTTTTGCTCGATTGACCAAGTTGAGGCTTCTTGGATTGTCAGTAAATAGCTTATCCGGGGAGTTCCCTCCTCCGTTGTACAATTTGTCATCCCTGGAACTAATATCACTTTCCTTTAACAACTTTTCTGGTAATCTCAGATCTGATTTAGGCAACTACTTCCCTAATCTCCAAAAACTTTACTTGGCGAAATGTCAATTCATTGGGTCCATACCGACCTCTTTGGCCAATGCTTCAAAATTGCTAGAGCTTGATTTTCCTGTAAACAATTTCATTGGAAATATACCCAAGGGTTTTGGTAACTTGCGGAATTTGTTGTGGCTCAACGTTTGGAGTAACCAACTTGGACATGGTAAGCTTGATGACCTTGACTTTGTAAATTCTCTTACCAACTGCAGCAGTTTACAAATGCTCCATTTTGGAGACAACCAGTTTGTAGGTACATTACCTCATTCAACAGTCAACCTTTCTAGTCAGTTACAACGCCTACTCTTCTACGGAAACAGAATTAGTGGAAGCATACCCGGAGAGATCTCAAACCTGGTGAATTTGAATCTTCTCGAGATGAGTAACAACAATCTTACAGGTAGCATTCCAGATTCTATTGGAAGACTGACAAACTTGGGAGGTCTCAACTTTGGTAACAATCTCTTAACAGGGGTCATCCCTTCTTCAATAGGAAACCTCACTGAACTCGTCTATCTTTATTTTGGACTAAACAGGTTAGAGGGTAACATACCTTCAACATTGGGAAACTGTAGCCAACTGCTACAATTGGGTATTTCTAAAAACAGCCTAACAGGAACTATACCACAACAACTTTTTGCTCTCTCATCCCTCACAAATATTTTTGCATCTTATAACTCTTTGGCTGGTCCATTACCGGTGTATATTGGTAACTGGAGTCATCTTACTTATCTTGATTTTTCTCACAACAATTTTTCGGGGATGATTCCACGAACTCTTGGAAAATGCTTGGCCTTGGGGGAGATCTATTTGAAGGGAAACTCCCTTCAAGGGACCATTCCCAATTTAGAAGATTTGCCGGATCTCCAATTCTTGGATCTTTCCCTAAATAATCTATCTGGGCCAATCCCTCACTTCATTGCAAATCTTACTTCGTTACTCTACTTGAACTTATCATTTAACAATCTAGAGGGTGAGGTTCCTGTCACCGGAATATTTTCAAATTTGAGTGCAGATGTATTAATCGGGAACTCCGGGCTTTGTGGTGGGATTCAAGAGCTTCATTTTCAACCTTGTGTTTATCAAAAGACACGGAAGAAGCATGTACTTGCCCTCAAGTTTATTTTGGCAATTGTTTTTGCTGCTTCATTTTCAATCCTGGGCTTGTTAGTTGTTTTCCTTTGTTGGAGAAGAAATTTGAACAAACAACCAGCACCAGAAGATAGGTCTATATCTGCGCATTTCTACCCCAATATTTCATATGAAGAACTCCACACTGCAACTGGTGGATTTTCTTCTGAAAATCTTATTGGCTCTGGCAGTTTCGGGACTGTTTACAAGGGAACTTTTGCCTCTGATGGAATGGTTGTTGCTGTCAAGGTACTCAAACTCCTGCATGAAGGTGCTTCAAAAAGCTTCTTAGCAGAATGCCAAGCATTAAGAAACCTTAGGCACCGGAACCTTGTCAAGGCCATCAGTGTATGCTCAAGTTCTGATTTCAAGGGAAATGAGTTTAAAGCTTTAGTCTTTCAGTTCATGCCAAAAGGGAACTTGGACGAATGGCTACATCCGGAAAAGGAGATACATGAGAAGAGTACCTTGACCATACTTCAGAGAATGAATATCATAATAGATGTGGCATCTGCACTTCATTATCTTCACCATGAGTGCCAAACACCCATGATTCACTGTGATATAAAACCACAGAACATTCTTCTTGATGAAAATCTCACAGCTCATTTGGGTGATTTTGGTTTAGTGAGACTCGTTCCTGAATTCAGTAATGGATCGGATCTACATCAGTATAGCTCACTTGGAGTTATGGGTACCATTGGCTATGCAGCTCCAGGTAATGTTTCTATGTAAACAAAAACTGTGAATATAAGATATGGTTTCTGTAACAATGGTGGTTTATTTATTAAAAAAAAATGAATATGCTTGTTGCAGAATATGGCATGGGTAGTAAGGTCTCCATTGTAGGAGATATGTATGGTTTTGGGATTCTAATATTGGAGATATTCACTGGAAGAAGACCCACAGACACTTTGTTCCAAGCAAGCTCTAGTCTCCACCACTTTGTCGAAATAGCGTTGCCAGAGAAAGTAATGGAGATTCTAGACAAAACAACTTTTCATGGTGAGATGATGAGTAAAGAAACCAATGGAGAAGAATACAGGGGCAGTATCAAGAAAGAACAGATGGAATGCTTGGTTGGCATACTTGAGATTGGAGTTGCATGTTCAGCTGAATCCCCAAGAGACAGATTGACCATGTCACAAGTCTACAGTAAGTTGACACTAATAAAAGAAAAGTTTCTAGGTGCAGGAGATTGAGGCCACAGGTTACAAGTGAAAACATTGGGATTTGATCTAATATTGTATTCATTCTGTCTATTTTGTAAGAAAACATCAGATGCTTACATTCTGTCTATTTGGTAAGCATTGGATTTGATGTAAAACTTGAAGACGCTGTAGTATTTTCATCATGCAGAAGAACTAAGGTAGTATCTGATTTATTGATACTCAATGGATTTAGTTTAGGAACATCAGATATCAGCTCTTAACTTCAATATTAGAGATTAAAGAATCGGATAATAAACCACGGAAAGGTAGACGCAACTTTAAGGTTTGAATTAGCAAATCAATAAACGTGACAATACTAAACGTGTTTGTAATCAAAGATTAACTACTATCCAAAATATGATTCTATTGATAACAGGCGATAAATAAAACTCTAATCTAATGTCAAGTTATTAGTATGCCCTGAGGTAACTGCCAAGAATCATACGATAATTTGAACCTGAAATTCATTTACAGTATCAGTCAGTTTTCTTCTTTACTCAGTCATCAAGGGCTTCTTCTACGGACTTGGTTTTTGCATTCGGGTTATAGATATCTGAATTTCTTCAACAGGGAACAAATCATCGTATTTCCTAGGCTTAATAAATATCATCGGAACGGCTTGTTGTTTGGTTGCAGGGATCGTGAAAGTACAACTATTTTATTAATATACATACCATTGGAATTCAAATTATATTACTCCAATAGCTCCACATTCATCTAATACAAATTTTCTCTTATCAATTTAATCAACAAAAGTTCTGTTGTAATTTGGATTTTAATTTTAATAATTTCACCCCAGAAACCTATTGGAAAAGGCACAACTTGAACTTGATCTTTTTTGGATCAGAAATTCCGAGAAGAAGAGAGTTTCGAGACGGTTACAGAATATTCTCGTTCACAGTAGCAGTTACGTAGAAGTTGGATTCAAAAAACAACGGTTGGAAACTGAAACGACTTATCCTTTCATAAAAGAATGAAACGACACACCTTTTTCGTTTAAAAGTAACCGTAGAAGTTGGTTATAAATAGGACTCTTTTACTTGACAAAAATTCCAACGTGACAAACATTAGAGAGGAGAAGAAAATATGGCCAATAATGAAAAACGTGGACTCGATGCCCTTAGGGAGAAAATCTCCCTCTTGCCCTTGAAGGTAGTTGTTCAAAGTAAACTTCTATCAAAGGATGTTAGAGATATGATTTCTCATGATGCTGAATTTGCCCAACTTTTGTTCAATCGTCATAAAGACTCTTCTACCCAACTCATCTATACAGTATTTGATGGGGCAGAACGAAAAAGATTCTTCAAAATCTCCTTAAACCCAATCACTCAATCTGAGTCGTCTTTACCCGAAGTAATTGAGATTCTGGCCTCATGTAATGGTCTCATTCTCATTGAATTTGAACGAGTTAGGTGTTACTGTGTTTTCAATCCCATGACTGAAGAGCACCAATTGGTATCATACCCAAATTCTTCTCCAAATAATATAGAACATGTAGGCCTAGCGGTTGAGTATCCAAATGCAGATCGCTACAAATTGGTAACCGTCCATAAGTTGGAGGAAAATTCCAACTTGTTCTACAAGTTTCACCTACTTTCATCAGAGCAACCTGACGTGTGGCGTGAAATCCAAGTGAGGACCATTTCTTTCCTATCTTCACTTGTTTGTGGTCCACATGTTTATTGGGGCGATTCTCTGTATTGGCTCAGAAAAGATGGTAGTGTTCTGGCTTTTGATACGAAGAGAGAAGAGGCTACACTAATTGACCGTCCTGAGTTTCTTGATCTCGATTATGGTAAAATTTTAACTGGTCAGGACATATGGTTAGGGATTGCACAAGGTTTACTTACCCTTGTATGCATTTTCAGAACGCGCATAGACATTGCTACTTTTGACAGTGCAAACAAAAGTTGGAACATTTCCCGCACTTTGGACAACTTCGTTTTAGATCAGGAAGGCAGTTTTAAGGGCTGTCCAGTCTGGATCGACAGCAAGCAAGTGTCTTTTCTGGTACAAAATCCCCAGACATGGCACTATGATCTATACGAGTATGATACTAATACCAATGTGTACCAAAATGTTGCAGTGTTGCCTATAATTAATACTTACATGCATTGCTTCCATCCAACCTTAGCTTCTGTCCATAGCACACCCTACAATGATGCAACGGATGATCAGCAGGCGCATATTGCTGCAAATTTGAATGACATCAACAGATTTATCATCGAAGGTACCAGTTAGTTTCCGTTCAATTTTGTATTATAGTTCTTGTAATGTCCTAAACGAGTTTAAAGTCAGGATTAGCGATTCCTTTCAAATTTATCTTTAAAACATGTCAACTAAGCCAATGGACATTCTCATAGAGATATTGCGTGCCTTCTTTGTTTGACTTTAGTGGCATTTCCTAATTTGTAGGTCTGATTTTATATTTGAAACAATTCTAAATCATTTCTAATTCTTCTCAAATTTTGTATATAACTTTGTCCAGGTATTCCAGCGGTAATAGTAGAAGAAGATGAAAATGAATATGAATATGAATATGAAGATGAAGATGAAGAATTAGAAGGAGGAGCAGACGAAGCAGCAGGAGGAGAAGAAGATGAAGAAGCAGGAGGAGAAGAAGATTGAAGGCATAGTTAAATATTGTAATAGATGTAGTTTCCTGTATGTATTTTGAATAAAAACTTGTTTCTTTCTTTTATCTGCATCGAGTGATGAATTCGAAATAATTTTAGCATCCCCAAGCGACGATGTTTGGTGGGCTTTCCATTCAAAATTTGCTTGACATAACAAGCATCATGACATAAAAATGACTTCCGTTTAAAGAATTTATGGAAATGTTAAAAGTAAGAATGGAGCAATTGTAACACCAAACTGCTCATCAACAATCAATTAGGACTTGCTACAGATCCACTGCAACTTAAATGCTCTGCAGTCATCTTTGATATTAATCTACTTCAGAAAAAAATTACAACACTAATATATGCCTTCGCTACATATTTTAGACAATAATCATCACCCTCCCTTGTCTCGAATACTCCAGGCATGCACAATAGATTGAAGATTTGAGCGTGAATTAGCAAATCAATAAACACAATAATACTAAAAATATTTGTAATCAAAGAAAAACTACTCTCCAAAATAATACATCTATTGATAACAGGCAATAAGACTCTAAAAGTTACAAGTTATTAGTAAGTTGCCCTGAGGTACTGCAAACTGAAAATCATAGGATAATTTGACTTGCAAAAGTGGGCTTTTTTACGAACTCTTAAATTTAATCAACACAATTTTTGTTGTTAATTGCATTTTAATGTACCCCTGAAAGTTGAAACCTATTGGAAAGATAAAACTTAAACTTGATCTTTTCGGAACAGAGATTCCGAGAAGAGGAAAGTTTTTGGAGACTGTTGTACAGAAATAGTTTCCTTCTCAGTAAATGTTACGTACAAGTTAGATTCAAATACAACTGTTGATAACCAAAGAATGAAACGACACATCCTTTCATTTAAAAAATACCTCTTAATTTAAAGGACACAGCCTTTGGTAAAAGTTACCGTAGAAGTTGGATATAAATACGACTCTTTTTTTAAACGAAATTCCAACGTAACAAACAAGAGAGAGGAGACGATAAGATCGAAATGTATTATGGAATTTCAGGAAGATATCCTTGGGGAGATCATTTCCCGCTTGCCCTTGAAGTTTGCTGTTCAATGTAAACTTCTATCGAAGAATTTTAATCATAAGATCTCATCTAGAATTTGCCCAAATTTTGTTCCAACGTCATAAAGACACTTCAACACAACTCATATATTCAAATTATGATGAGAGATTATTCAGTAAATTCTCCTTAAACCCAATCACTCGATCTGTGACGACTTCATCCTATGACTCTGAGATTTTGGACATATGTAATGGTCTGATTCTCTTTGAATTTGAACTAACTATGACACCAAGTAGATGTTGTTGTGTTTTCAATCCCATAACTGGCGCACACCAGTTGATACCATTCCCAAAGTCGCCTGAATTTGAGTTGGAAACAACAGGCCTAACGGTTGATTACCCGAATTCAGATCAATACAAATTGGTAACCATCAGTGAGGTGGTTGAAAATTCCAGCTTGTTCTACAAATTTCACCTACTTTCATCAGAGCAATCTGGCTTGTGGCGTGAAATCCAACTGAGAACCAATACTTTCATATCTTTCTCCGATAATCCATCTGTTTATTGGCGCGATTCTCTGTATTGGCTCAGAAGTGATGGTAGTGTTCTAGCTTTTGATACAAAGAAAGAAGAGGCTATACTCATTGACCGTCCTGAGTTTATTGATCATTATGTTCTCAGCTACGGTAAAATTTTGACTAGTAAGGATATGAGTGGTAGCGATATATGGCTAGGGAGGGCACAAGGTTTACTTACCCATGTATGCATTTTCAGAATGTACATAGTCATTGGCACTTGTGACAGTGCAAGCAGCCGTTGGATGGTTTCCCAAATTTTGGACAACTTCATTTCTGGTCTGGACGGCATTGTTATTGGCTTTCCAGTATGGATCGACACCAAGCAAGTGTCTTTTCTGGTACAGAGTAACTCGCCAGGGTATCATGATCTATACGAGTATGATGCAAAGATCAACGGGTACAAAAATGCTGCAGTGTTGGACAAAGTTGATTATCCCGAGTATATCTTCCATCCAACGTTAGCTTGTGTCCATAAGTCGCCCTCACGTAATGTAACCGCTGCTTATCAGGTATATATTGCTGCAAATTTGTATGACATCAAAAGATTTATTATCAAAGGTACCTGTTAGTTTAAGTTCAATTTTGTATTTTAGTTCTTGTGATGTCCTAAATGAGGTCAGGATTAGCAATTCCTTTTAAATTTATGTTTAAAACATCTCAACTGAGCCAATCGACATTTTCATAGAGATATTGAGTGCCTTCTTTGTTTGACTTTCGTGGCATTTTCTAATTTGTAGGTCTGATTTTATACTTGAAACAAGTCTAAATCATTTCTAATTCTTCTCAAATTTTGTATATAACTTCGACCAGGTATGTCCATCCAAGAAGATGAAGAAGAAAGTTCATCATCAGAAGAAGAAGATGAAGAAGTAGCGGGAGGAGGAGAAGAAATATTGTAATAGGCATGGTTTCCTATATGCATTTTGAAGAAAAGCTTCTTCTTTCATTTTTTGCACATTTCAAGTGATGAATTCCAATAAATGAAAGATTTTCATCTCCAGGGCCCAGGGGAAGATGTTTGGTGAATCTTCCATTCAAAATTTGATTGAACCTTTTATTCTTCAAATTAATATGTAATGATATTCCAAATTTGGGATAAGAATAATTCGTGCGTATAGAATCTGGACTGTAACCATGACCATTAGATCCTGCCTTGTGATCTCCTAAAAAGTCATGATAGAATTTTCCAGTGAACCCGTTGAGCTAGGTTCAGAGGGCCTTTATATTCAATCAATTGCAATGTCTTTTTTTTTTACTCTCCCTAGGAGCTCCCACCCATTTTGCTCCCTTGGTGACTCGAACTCGCAACATTCGGGTTGGAAGTGAGGGGTGCTTACCATCCGAGCAACTCCCTCTCGTCCAATTGCAATGTCTTCATAAGCACAACGGTGAGAAAAACAGTGGCATCAAACTATAAGTATGCCTGAAGGTGAATTGAGTAACTGTAATTCTGTGGTTCTTGGCTGTAAATAAGTGCAGCAAGAATGTAACTAAACATACATACGATCCAGTTAGCATTGGAACAAAGTTTAAACAGCACATACAAAGATGCTTGATTGACTAAAACATCGTTTGAGAAAAAAATGGCTTTTTCCCACCTTAGCTCCATGTAACAAACAGAATATTTAATGGAAGGACGGGGAATCAATATCCCTGCTGTCATATAATACACTATTTGATTTTGTATACACTGCTGTCATATATGCATTACTCAGGCCCAAACGGGTTAGTTAATTAATTAACTGGAATGCTCCATTAGACTTCGTAGGAGATCATAAGGCAGGATCAAATGTTCTAAGGTATATGTGAATTATGATCCAATTCATCAGAATCTGTTTGGACAACATTCCTTCAGAGTTTTCTGATTCCTTTTTTATTTTGGAAATTAGTTGTATCCTTGTGGGGGGTTTTCCTTAAATATTTGTGAATGTTTGTAAATGGAAGTATTGGGAGAATTCACTCTGACTACAATTGAGTGTTGAAAGAAATAAGCAAATCAAAAGTTGTGATGAGCACACAACACTGTTGTGTTTAACTTGCACATCCAGTGATCAACAACAAAAAGTTCATGAGCATATCAATTTCACCTTTGCATTAGATGCAGAAATCTCTTCAACAAAATTCTTATGCTTACATATTTGTCTTAACGGTACCAAATATTCCAAAGATATTCACACGAACAAGTTACAGCCTTGCAGTCTGCAGATGTCTGTGTGTGTGATACCAAAGAGAAGAATTCAAACCTAAAACATCCCTCAATTAATGCACAAAGATGACAATTATCCGTACATTTAACCCACTATTTTACCCACCAAAAAAAAAGAAGAAAAAGGAATTGTTGAGATCTGAATGCCAAGGGCAGACATCATCCACCAGATGGACCTGGTATAACTTAGAATCTTTTCTTTCTCGCACCATTTCTCACACACCAGGACTGAGCTATCGAACTTCTTAAGCATTCTCCCTCAAAACACAAGCACAACCTCTTCAAAATCAACCTCCATGTAGTGCAACATGCCCTAGCTAGCTTGGAAGTCCAGGAACAGTCGCAATTTCTGTGAAAGGAGCTCACGAGTTCCATACAATGGCTTACTACTGATGATCCAATCTTTCTCAAGCAGTCCTGCCTTGGCACTATGCGACATCTCATCGTAGAAAGCAGAGATAATACCATAGATGGAAGTCTTCAGGATATCAGCCATCGAATATGCTTTTGCATAAAAAGGGGCTCCTTTTCTTCTTCCTGTCATGCCTGCTGCTGAATCTCTCCTTCCAGGGTTTAATGTAGCCCACTTAATACCAGCAGGATCCATTAAAGTATTTGACGACTGTAAGTTGGTTTTCTTGCCCATCAAAGTTTCAACAGCTAATAAACTCGATAGCAATGTTGAAATAACAGCAGCATTGCTCCCTGATAGTTGAGCAACACCAAATCTGTCCTCCTTGTGTGAATGCACGGTCAGTGAAGCCACAATGCGAGCACACCAAGCTAGTAGCTGCATGCAGTTTAAGACTGTATTCAGCATTTCATATAAAATAAGTATTATACTCTCAATTGCATATATTACCAACGGCAGTTCAGGATATGCAAAAATGACAGTAAAACGAAAGAAATCTAATTCATAAATTAAGAATAAAAAGTTACCAGAGAGAAAAAGGCACAGTATTTAAGGACATTCATTCATGTAAAATTAGTGATTACCTGAAAGTCATCAAATGATTCATAAACCTTTGAATCGGCAAGCTGTTCATTTGGAGAACGTAACTGGTGAGACAGTTGCAAGGAGTTATCAACTGGAGAGCTTTCCAAAACCTCACTCACATTTCTTGTGAATTGTTCAACAGGGGTCAAGCACACAGAAATGACTCTTTTGTAAGTTTCACCACTTTCCTCAAAGAAGGCAGCTCGGCGCCAAGGATCAACATTACCTTCGCATACCATACAAAGGTCAAGGTATGCAAGATACTGCAAAAGAGATTTTGGTGTGCTCTCCTCCAATGCGGCCAGAAGCGGTTCACTTGGATTTGTTTCAGCAGCTGCAGAACCTTTTGGAGGGGCAAAGACGGACCGTTTTGTGTGTAACACCTAAATAATCAAACAAAGTAACATAAGTTTTGCTATTTATGCTTATTTCCAGATGTTATTGAAAAAAATAACCAGCTTGAACATATACAGCTAATTGGGAGCCTAACCTGGTGTGCGAGTGTGTTTAATGAGAGATAGTGAAAGGGGAGAGTAAGAAGGAGAGAGACCGACCTGGTGTAAATGATGACATAATTCCCAGCAGAGAATCACCACAAAACTTCCAATATAAAAGAGAATCTGCTCAGTGATGAAGTTTCCTACTGGAAGTTGACCCTTAAACTCATAAGGTAGAGCAAATGCAAGGATAGCTGAAAGCACATAACCAACAGCAGAAAGCTTTAGAGCTTTCTCAACAGCTAAAGGTAGCCCCATCTTAAAGCTGAAAAAGGGAGGACGCTGTTGACATGGAACTGTGTGTCAGTCTCTGACTACCGAAAAGATACCAATAGTCACCATGTCAAACTACAATTTATATGATGGAACGCATATCTAATGAGAGTGGGGTAATCAAAGAGAAATCAAATTGCTCGAATCATAGCAGTGAGAGAACTCATAACTGGAGTTAAAAATTATCATCTAACTGTTCCAGTAAGCATAGACAATTGGGTGACTGGTTGTATAAAACAAAGCTCATTCTTCGATACTATGAATAGTTTAAATCAACAACATACCTAGTGTAATCCCACAAGTGGAGTTTAGGGAGGGTAGAGAGTACGCAGACCTTACCCCTACCTCATAGAGATAGAGAGGTTGTTCCCAATAGACCCACTATAAATAGTTAAAACAAGCAGAATTTTTTTTAACTTATCATGAATACCATAATTATGAAGGACTTCCATCACATGATAAAATAATATTGCTCCATATTTCCACATCAAATAATCGAAATATATAATTATGCTTGAGTTTTTATACATGAAGCAGCAGGAACTCTGTTACAGTAGAGAATGCATAGATTTAGCTTTCTCTTGAATCAATGCCCCAATTCACACGATGAGTCTATACATGAAACACATACAAAAATTGGACATTTTTCAAAAGGGGGTTAAAACACGTGAATGGCTCAGATTAAAGGGACTGAAGGGCGAGGATCGCATAAGGGGTGAACTATAAATACATCAAAATTCCAGTGTGAGAGCATGTAAAAATCTGGTATTTCCTCATCGCTTGCCCGTGTTCTTCTCACTGACTTCTCTTCTCTCTCTCTCTCTCTCTCTTTCTCTCTCTCAAATTCTTTCCTAATTCCCAATTTATCAAATTGCTATATCCCTAAATGAATGAGCTAATCATTTCTAGCTATAGATCCTACTGAAAGCTGTGCATTTCCAATCCCTTTACAGGTATGTTGGTGATGAGCTGATTACTGGGAGTTGGTGCTGGACCATTTTGATTTCAACTGGCTTTCGTAGTTGTTGTTACTATCTGTTATAATTTTGCATTTTCCCATTCTATATTGAATTGAGCTGTAGTTTCTGTTTCTGCAAAACTGAGTCGAATTGTCATTGGATTGGGGGTAAATTATAATCGAATTGAGTGGTTAACTTGTTAATTACATAGTGAGTTCATTACAACTGATTTGAGATTAAAAGGCTAAAACTGTTGAAATCAATCAGTTGAGAGTCATTTGAAAAAAGCACATCGAATATCATAATTCATGACACTTCCTATACAAGTCTTGCATTATGCAATAACATACTAAAATTGATATATAGAAGCCACTTTTATACCTGGATGATCGGGAACTGCAAAACCCACCGCTTGTTATATACATAATGCACTCCATATAACAATCCGATCTGCAAACCCCAAAACCCTAATTTCCCAATAACCAGCCGTCTCTGCTTCAATTGATCGAAAGCATTACAGCTCAAACAGAGGGTAATCACAGACAAAGACGCTGATACTGCAGACACCGCCACAAACAGCACGAAACTAATGGAAGCCCTCGCCCGGAGCCGAAAATCAGGGGACAGCAGCGGCTGGGAGTTAGAAATGGGAACAAGTATCAGCCGAGCAGTACCGAGCAGAAGCTCAAAAGGGGAAGCAGCGCGTTGAGGGCGAGGAGAAGAGATGATGAAAAGGGAAGTAGAGAAGATGAGAAGGGAGAAGTGGAAAACTATGAAAGCGAAGATACTGAGAAATGAAGGTTTGAAGGGGGTTCGAGTGAAGAGAGAAAGGAGTAGGGTTTTGGAGAGGAAGAAGATGGCGGTGGATTGAAGTGCTTGCCAGATTAAGAACCCTAAGAAGCGGTGTTTGACGACTTTAGTACCGCCGTCTTTGTCTCTAAATAAGGATCTTTCTACTATGGATATAAGCATTTTCTGGCGCGGAAAGACGGCGGAGAGGAGTGGTTTAGGGGTTTAGAGGGTGGTGAATGGTGGAGCTTCTGCGTAGTGTTACAATGTGGCGATGAGTTCCAACAGCACTTGGGCGGGAACTTAAGCGACGCCGTACCTCTGAATATTTTTCTCCCTTTTAATTTAATTTTTAACCGATATTTATTTCTTTTAATTTTAAGTGTATACAAATAATTTAAAATTTTAATAAGCAAACACACCTATCTTTATGTGATGTCCTTCCTAATAATTCGTGTAACATGCGCTCTAACTATCGTCTGGAAAGTGGTAACATCCTTAATTCCTCTACTATTGTTATCTCCTTAATTCTTTTGCTAAGAGAATCTTTGAATTAGTCTAAAAGTTGGTCAAACGTATTTTTAAGTCTTTTTTACCTTTTAAAAGTATTTGACAAAGTTAAAAAAATAACTTTAACAAAAGTTACAAATCAAAAGCTGGTTTTTTACTTTTTAACTTAAAAGCTACTTTATTCGATCAATCCAAACCGTCTCTAAGAAGCAAACAACTAAATTACCAAAACGCACGCATAATTTTTTCCAGCTTTTGTTGTCCTGCGGCTAAAGGTTACTCCTACTCAATACAATCCGACTACAGTTTCGCTTTGCTTATTAAATAAGCCAATGTGATTCTTTTTAATACAATAAAATATCATCTACTTCCAAAGGTTGAGAAACTTTGTTACCGTCTTTGAAATACCACGCAACTGTCTTAGCTTCTACCATTATTGGTTTTTTCAAGTTTTTCACAGGTTGAGAGTTGAGAATAGATATAGAAAATTTGTATAAAAACAGTTAAAGATAAAGTAAAAGAAACACGAGATAACGCAAGAGAGAAAAGAGTCCATAGATAAAAAAGAATCCTCCGTGTTTCCTTATTCCTTTCCACAACACCAACACCCCTCCAGTATGACACGAGTGTTGAGTCAATTAGGAAACAGTAGCACAAAAAACATACTGTTTCATTGGAGACTCTGCAGCAAACTTGAATTGCATGAACAGCTATTAAGATCCAAGGCCACAGTCGAAAAAAAAACAATCTACAAGATATCACAGTTTTGACGCCTATCAGAGGTCTGACACATGGCCTTCGTGATATTATAATGCACTGGAAGTTGGTCTTCAATTAAGTAAAGAGGAAACTGTCAAAATTAGAGAAACTGTCGCCTCCTAACATTCATCTCAAATTATTTGTAAGCAAGAGATTTGAGGCACCTTCAAGCAAAAAAGAAGAGGAATACAAGTGGAACTTTGAGCCAACTAAAGGCATTAATACAAGAAACAGACTGTACATAGGCAACTTGTGCCCAAAATTTTGCTAGAACCAAGATCTCATTAGGAAAAATTAACATGACAACAATTTACAGGTTTTAATAACTTGATCATGAACTTTACTATAATCTAGTTACCCCAACTCATACCACATGGGAAACCCAAAAAGCATAAAAAATGATAGTTTGGGTGGGGAGAGCAAATCAAGAAGAATGTACACATGAATTTTCATAATTTGGTCACCATAGAGAGCAGGTCAGTCAAGCTCATCATCAACAGGATCTTTGTGCTGCAATGATTAATCAAAACTCAAAAGGATCAGTCTTGCGAATGTCATAAACAGAACACTTGTAATACAAAGGAAGATCAATACGGCCTTGTTTCAATAAACACTTGTTCTATATGAAGTAGATGAAGCATCTATTCAGAAAGAGATAAACATACAAGGGAACAACATCTCATCAAAGTATATCAGAATAAATGGTCGCTCAGGGAACACTGCTCTGACAAGATCACCAAAGAAAAACCAACTATCAGCATATTTGCAATGAAGAATTTAGATATCTAAAAAGCATAGAACTAAGAAGGCATTTTATTTGGGGAGAAAGGTTGAGAGTCATAGAACTGAGAAAGCCCTTATCACTACATCATTTGTCCGTTGCTTTCTTTTTCAAACTGTTTCACAAGTGACAGGGCTAAAGGAGTTTGACTTGCATATTGCTCCATCCATACCATAAAATATGACCTGAGTTGTCATGTGCAGTGAAATAAAATATTTAAATGGCTTAATATGTCAAATTTGAAAGAAAAATGCTCCGCGTATAGTTTGGAGTTGTGAAATTAAGGATTGACAGTTGGTAAATTATTAGCAGAAGTTAGAAACAGTTAAATAATATTACCTTTAATTAGCTTAAGTTGTTGGACCATTGAGGACTTCCCATAAAACGAAGAAGTCGAGTTTTTTTATCAGAAAGGGAAGTAGGTCAGTTTTACTATGACATAAGTAACAAATTTATATTCACACTAAAAGAATAACAAGGTAGCTGCAGAAAAGTCAGCTTGAAATGAAAGAAGATATATATCACGGCATTGCTCAAATGCAGATAGCTAATTGAATCTGAATTCGTGAAATTTGTGAAACCATGTAAGGCAAAGTTGCAGAGTTAATCGCCTCATGAATGTTATAGAAGTGATAGGCATATTAAACCCTTAAGCATAGTTGCAGGCTACGGCCTCATATATGCTAACCTAGTTTTCAGTATATAAGACCAGGCTAGAGATTTTTTGGTGATGGTAAAGAACTAGTTGGGGGAATTTATCATGTTGAAGCCAACGACTATATGCTGATACAGTAGCTTACCTTTCGCTTGCTGACATAAGGCTGTAACTGCACCATACTCTGGGATTGGCTTTCAACCTCAGAAGATTTGTGATTCCCCAGCTGAAATTCTTTTCTAGATTCCTTCCTAGTACCTGATTGCCAAACTCTGCCAAAATTTGGGAGCCAGTTCACATCGAAAGTGTTTGTCACGAGCTCCCCTTTACTTTCCAACTCCAGTTCAACTCTTCTTCTCTCTGCCCAAGCAGCACCAACCCGGTTTGGGTTTAGTTTCGACTTCTTCTGATTGGGAGGGAAGGGGTCACTCCTTCCGGGATTTGATATAAAATCTAGCTGACTTTTTTCCGCCACATTGAACCACGGAGGAGGTGCTCCAGAATGAACATTGCCAAGGGAATCTTCTTGAAACGTTAAAGATATCTGGGTAATGCTTGGTGTACCTGAAGAAGAAATTTCCATTCTTCAACTGTAAGAATACGTGAAGGCACACTAACAAGACAGAAAAAACACCATAATAACCAACCCAGAAACATATTATACGTCCATAAACATGAACTTACTACTCAGAAACATTACTAAAACATATAGTCTCAACTAAAGTGCATGAAATATAAAATTATGCAGAAAGTAAAGAAATCAGTACCCAGAGAACTCTTCATCCCCTTTGTCATTCTTCCATCCGAAGTTACCTGGCAAATCAACCAGAGTGAGATTTACATGATAAGGAAAAACTTATAAGTAGAAAAAGTTTAGACAACCAAATCCCGCATTCCAATTGAGAAGCAAAAGTAGCACCTGATATTATTCTGTTAGCAAATAATTTCCATGTATGCTTTCACAAAAATTTAAAACTGTCCACGTCTCTTTTAGCACATGAGAGTCAAATTGGTTATATTGTGAATTTTCCATTAACAGTAAGAACATAAAAAATGATTTTTAGGTTTCCAATGCAACAAGAAAGGTTGGACCGTGCAGTTCTTAATGGCTTTGTTTACTTTTTGGGCATGAATTTGTGATCTCTTAAATTGGTTCTTGTTTAGCTTGTTAAAAGAGCCTTGCCCTGGAAAGCATCTCCTTTGCAGCCCATTATACAAGGGGTGGATTGAGCCAATGGCACATAAGGAACAAACATACAACTTACATATATTGACGGTGACTGACTTAGGCCAGCAAGATCAAGAGATTAATTATGACGGCACGCAAATTTTCTCATGATTAAAATGGAAGTTTTTAGCATGTCATAAATATATGAGATGTGGAAGTGCAATTTCTACAGGCATCGGCAATCTTTTGGCACAAATGATTATAGCCACCTTGTAGATGATTACCATCAGAGGCAGATCTACCCCCAGGGTAGGAGGGTCACCTGCCCCTAGTAACCTCGGGAAAAATGTATATAATATATGTATATATATCTTAAATAATGTTTATATATTTTGATTAATGATTGGCACCCGAAACCACAAAGGTAAAGTAGCTGCACTGGTTGATCTGGGGTGCACAAAATGACCTTTAGTGCCATTTAACTCAGATTGATTCCCGCTTTCAGCATTCGTCCAAATTTTGTTGTGACATTTTTGTAGTTACAGGACAGTTTACTTTTTTTGTAGCTTTTTTCTTTAGTTTTCAAAGAGTTCCACACCAAATTTTTTAGCAAGAAATTGACATGTCTATGTTATACAAAGAAAAAAAAATAACACGTATATATTAAAAATATTGGTGCCCTCGTCATTTTCAATTCATGGGTCTGCTCTGATTACCATCCCTGCCAGCCAAACATTCATGAACCCTTAAATGTATATGTCACAACTTGATAAAAAGAAGACAGTCAATTTTTTTAAATACTGTAAGAAGAACAAAAGCACAGAGAGAAGAAGCAGAAATTCATCACAAGGGGGGAAAATCATGTCATGGCAAACACTATATGTGTTCCTTTGATAATCAGATCTAAGCGAGAAAGCTCATCACGCGTTTGTATGAACACTTTTCATAAAAATTAAAAAGAAAAGAGACACCTATCATGATTGAAACTCATTTCTATAACTATAAGTGGCATGGTTCTCAATGTTCAGCCTTCAAATAAGAAGGTTAAAAGGCTGAAGTGGGCCAAAAACACAAAGGCTTGCCGTGTTGGCACGCTTAGCTGCATAAGTGCAAAGACAGAAAAATGGAGAAAAGGAGGCTAACACCTTTTTACTTTGCTTTGTTTTTTATCGTTCCTTCTATTTTTCTTGTAATTGTCTTTCTCCCAGATAAAGAAAGCCATGCAATGTTATACTAAGTTTCATCAGACAGCACTGCTTTAAATACATCAAATATTTGGGCTAACCAATATTGCTTACTTGCATATATATGTAGTCATATCAAAACTCTGATATCTATACTCTCAACCTTACATGTTTATTAACATTCCCTACATTTTACCAGTCCTACGACCAACTTTTCCCACAACTAGAAGCTATTATCTCTTCTCAACAAATTCAGTCAGTAATTACACACCAAATAAGAAAGATACTAAACTTGTAAGCACTCAAAAGGCCAAAGCAAAGCAAATGAAGTAAATCACCATCAATTAATGCTTAATAGTCAGAGCTGCCACCAGTTCAAAAAAATGATGAACACATAGGGACAAATAATGATAAAAGTGTGACAAAAATGATAAAGCATCCACTATGATGGTCAAAGTTGAGCAAAAAAGGACATAGGAAAAGGTAACTAGGCGCATGATAGGATGTCTTACTGGTAGTGCACAGTGATCTTAGTATCCGAGCTTACAACACAAAGATAAATAACAGGAAAATTAAATAGCAGATATGCCTGTTAAATAGACTTACAGAACCTCCATTAAGACATTGGTGAGAAGCTGTGGCATGAAACCCCAAGATCTTTTGGGCATCTGTGCAAAAAGAAGTTCACAAGATCACTATCAGTCAGTGAGCAAAACATTAGATCAGAGAAACATCATACCACCATACGAAAGAGAAAACTATGAGGCACTAACTTGATACGCCACTGGAGGAACAAGCATCTTCACCGAGTTGTACGCCCATGCATGTACTGCGCATATTAGGGCCATTTGTAACACTATGCATTTTGTTTTCAAATATCTGTGATCTCTCATTCGTATAATTTTGTAAAGGTACAACACTATTTGAAACATCAACGTTAAGAGCATGAATATTATCTTTTTCAAAACAATTTAGATAGTCAGAGTTAGTTTTATTTTGGATATCATTTGACGGTCCAATTGACGTTGCACGAGATCCTCCATCAAGAGCTCCCTTCTTCGAAAGATTGCACTTCTTCTCCCACTGTACATATGAATGCATGACGAATGACTTTATCAGGACTCAGAACGATAGGAAAACAATCTTTTAAACAAAATAAAAAGTTCAAGATGTATGTATACATTCGAGTTGACATGTGAGGATCAAATTCAGCAACTCTGTGAAATGCTAACATTCACCTCTTGTTTCTAAATATCCAGAAATTTCATCTAGAAGATGACATCTCCCACAGAGAAAATTTATTGATAGTGTCAATCACTATGATATAATGACAAAACAAAGGGATAATCCACATCTAGACCTCCCGATCAAGAGGGGAGAAAATGCCAAATAAAAAACTGTATATGTAGGAAGAAAGGGTTTACCATTGAAGAACAAATAGACAGTACTGGATCAGTAGAAATTCTCATATATGCAACGTATAATCTAATGAAGAAATACATTTTAAGTTTTAAATAAGATATAACTATGAAGTGCTCTAATCAAATTGGTAAAAGAAGGAACGTCATCTAACTCTCATAAATTTTATCAGCTCAAATTTTATAGTACATTTCTACTCCGAGAAAAACTTAAGCTGAGGGCAACGTGTTTCAAATTAAGGTACAGTTATAGTTGTAGTCAATTGTAAGATTTGGTGATGGTGATAGTGATAGTGATAGTGAGAGACATCCTAACATGTACACGGCTTGCACACACCAAACAACATAAATTTGTGAAGGCGTGACATACAAATAAATGTGAAATATATCACCAGTACCTTGGCGAAGTCAGTCTCTGTAATCCGAAGAGTATCAACCTTGTCCATTCCACCACCATACTTCCACAAAAAACCTTTAACTTTCTTCATATGATCCGCACCAGACAAATGCCTAATCGCATTGTCACTATATCCAACAAACATAAAATCTATAAACGAACATATACTTTACAAATCAGTAAAACAAGCAGAAAAGTAATCATTCCGTACCTAGCGTAGAAGCTGTCGAGTTCAAGTATATCACACTCGCAGAAGATACACCAAAGTCGATTAAGCGAAGCATGCTCAGGGCGCAGAGGGATAGGGTTTTTTAGGAAGAACCGGATATCGGAAAGCTTCGATTGGAAACGGGAGAGCACCGCCGCGAGCGACTTCTTGTGGTTAGGGAGGAAGTTATGGCGGCGTCTTTGATTGTGATTGAGCTTGCAAACAACGCAGAATTCGAACTGTTTATCGTTGCTCATGCTCTTCTTCGTCTTCTCGCAGTGAAATTGTACGGAGAGTTATTTAGGGCTCTGAAATTCAGTTCGGATGATTCATAAGCAAAGGCACCCGCCCAATTTGTTGCCCGTTCCGGATCTCTATTGTCAATGAAGTAATTAAGACCCCATTTATTTTTATTATTATTAATAAAATTAATCTAAATTTTTAATACAACTTTGAATAATAAGATGTGTATCAAAATTAAGACGTTTGAATTTAATCACATGCTTTGAATAATGAATATAATATGCTGAATTAAGATTTGAATATTATATAACTAAGAAACGTTTATTTTCTCAATATCGAATGCATAAAACTTTTATTTATAGAAAGTCTATATAACATATTAATTACTCAAATATTATGTTAATAAAATATATTTAAGAAATATACAGTTATTTTGTAATGGTAATGGCTAATAGTGATGGTTGGTGATGTTGGTATTCATTGATAGAAGTGTTTATCAATCGTTCGACACAATTTTATATATAATTGATTCAATTTATTGGTTATTGATTTTGAAAAAATAAAGCAAAATTAATAACCAAAATAATAAGATATTCATGGTCAAATTTTGGTTAATCGGTTAGGGATCTTTCACTATTTGATTTTTGTTTAATAAAAAAGAAATGCCTCTCAAATTGTTTCCTCTCAAATCAATAGTCTGATAAAAAATTATAAAATTATTTTAAAATTGTTAATTCAATAATCCAACACCGATAAACTAATGATATTTTTTCTTTCAATTTACCTGTTAAACGGGAACTTGCACATTTATAGTAATTGATATATTACAGCTAGTGGTAATCGTGACTAAAGTAATGTTAATAGTGGTGGTTGAGGTGGCAATTGGTGGTAATGCCCGATAAGTATAGAGGACGATAGTAATAACTAATGATAATGGATATATCCGATGATGGTAGTTAATGTTATTTAATGTTGGTTGATGATGGTAATTATCGATAATGATTGGTGAATGTTGTGATAGACGATTAGTGGTGACGATTGTAAATAATGACTAATGATAACAACAACTAATTGTGATGAATGGGAATAGTGGTAATTGTGATTGAGGATGGTAATTATGACGATGATAGTGAAAATTGATAATGATGAATTACAGTGATGGATAGTGGTGAGAGTAGATGAAGTAACAATGAATGTCATATTTGGATTATTAGATGCATGTTATCTTAATGATGTTAGTGATTTATTATAAATATTAATCATTTAGATATATCCAGATTCATTAAATAATTAAAAAGGGAAGAAAATCAAACGAATTCAATAACTGAAATTTGAATGATTAAAATGTATATCAAAAGAATAAATAAAGGACAAATTACTTAACTACACTCTTTTACTTACCTTAATATCCATTTATCCCTACTTATTTCAAAATTTTCAAAAATTCCTTATTTACCTATGTATTCCGCATGTATCCCGTGCACAACGCTATGTATCTCGCTATGTGGAATGTATCAAACGCTATGTATCTCGTGCACAACGCTATGTATCCCGCTATGTGGAATGTATCAAACCTAATGTATCTCGTGCACAACGCTATGTATCCCGCAAACATCATTTTTAAGGGATTTTTGGTAAATAAAAAACTAAAAGGGATAGGATGTTATTTAGTACTTACAATATGTGGTTCCTATAATTTATACATAAATAAATATGACATTCTAGATGTGAATAATTAGAGATTCATACCTTTATTGAAGGCAAATAAATGAATATTGACTAACTAAATGAGTTTCATATATCACAAAAATTATGAAGGATAAAATTACACTATATATTAGTTCAGACAATAATGCAACCAATTTTGGCACATACTCTAGCTTCTTACATAGTTTGGCTCAGTTTTTATGAAATTGAAACTCATTTTCCAGTTCTTAACCTAATTATTTTTTTAAAATTCATCCTTTCAACAGAGATCAACGCAACGCTTTCAACTTATACAATCATGAGTGCTATCTATATCTAAATTTCATAGCTACAACGTGATTATTTTTTTGAATGAATCGTGCTCAAATCTAATTAGATGTTATTGAAGTTGGTTGATAATAGTCTAAAAGACTTTAAACTAGAGATTTGATTCATTCGAAACTAATTTGCAATTATTTGATAACAAATTTGCGGAATAAAATCTAATAAAAAAACGTTGTTTGGAGTTGAAAAACATAATTATCCATTAATTTAAGATCAATAATAAGAATAAAAAAAACAAAAACCTCACAATCAGGTTAATATAAAATAAATATCAAACAAAAATAAATAAATTCCTTTTTTTGAACTTCAGAGATTTGTAAATGAAGAGATTGATGTATAAGCTCTTTAAAAAAAATGTTTAAGTGACATAAACTCTAAAGAAACATTAGTGTTGAGTTAATATTTAATAACAACAAAAAAAGACTAGTAATAAATATTTCATATACTAGAATGGCTTTAGCCTTTGCATTTTCTTGAGTTCAGTGAGATCATCTCGATCAACTCACTTCTCAACTTTTTGACTGCTTCATAGCTTTTCGTCAATCATCAAAATTATGTTAAACTCAATAATAATAACTTTAATGTTTTAAAAATGCATTAAAAACAATAAATAAAAAGGATAAACTAAGAACTAAGGATAGATTAATATAGTTAATAAGAAGGATAAACAAAAAATTAATATAATTAATAAATAATTAGGAAACAATTAATAAAAAGGATACACTTTTTTATAGTAAATAAGAATGATTAACTAAGAACTAAGGATAAATTAATATTGATTTTTAATATAAGAACTAAGGATAGATTAATATAGTTAATAAGAAGGATAAATAAAAAAATCAATATAATTAATAAATAATTAGGAAACAATTAATAAAAAAGATAAATTCTTATAGTTAATAACAATGATTAACTAAGAACTAAGGATGAATTAATATTCATTTTAATATAATAAATAAATAAATAAAATAATAATTTTGTTTTATCAATTAATTAACCTCTTAGAAGAGATTGTCACAAGTCAACAACTATATTATGATGTTAGATTGAAGCTATAATAATCAATTTATTAATTTCAGTTTAATGTCCATCGACATTAGCTGCATCCATTCCTCACCGACAAATTAAGGAGCTTGACTCAAATCCAAGTTCCCTTCACTGTCCTTATAAACTCCTTGCATTTATGATGTGAAGAATATACTTAGTTCCATTTTATATTAGTTGTCTATTTTTTATTTATATATTTATTAATTTATTTTTGAAACTTTTATAAATGTAATCTGTTTTTTCACTTTTTTTAAAAATAATTGTAAAGGTGAAGATGAAAAAAAATAATTAATTTTATCTTGATTATAAAAATTAACAAGTAATTTGAGATAATTATTTATAATAAAATGACAACTCATGAGACCCCAGAAAATGGAGGAAGTAAAACGTTTTACGAATTTATTGACTTTTCTACGTACACGGTTTGAATTGATTTGAGATTTTTAGGGATAAGAGTGAGGTATTTAGGGACCATTTAAACATAGATATCTTTTAGTTTTTTTTTTCTTTTTCTTTTAAAGGAATTTCGCATATAGTCACTTAAAAATAACTTAATTATGCTTCATAGCTATAGTTTGTTAATTATGATTCGTAGCTACATGTTAGAGGAAGGAGAGAGGTGAGCGAGATTGGGAGACGGAGGAGAGAGGCGAGCAAGAGAGGGCATAGAGTGAGTTTTTTGGCTAAATTCATCCCTCAAGTATAATCCAAACTTAGAGTACATCCTTATGGTATAATAGTGAACAAAAAAGATCCATCTACTATCCCAAAACTTGCATAAGCATCCTTTTTGTTAACTACTGTTAAAAACTAACGGAAAGAAAAACAATTGCTAAGCACATGACTTTCAAAACGGCAGGAACGATTGAAGAAAATACTTCTTTTTGATTTATTGAGTTTTTTTTTGTTCTTGTGTATCAAACTGATGATATGCTATTGGTTTTTGCTGTCCATTTACTTATTCTGTTAATTTAATGGTACTAGACTCTGTTTCTACTTATTTTAATTGGTTTTTCTATTGTTTTGCTTGTCTTTTATGTTGTTTTTCTTATGTTTTGCCAAAAACATTGTTGTTAATTATTGGTTTACCAATTTTTCTGTTGTATTGCTGTTTGTTTTTGCTGTTTTATGCTAGTTTGGTGTTGTTTTGCTGATTTTCTTGTTGTTTATAACTGGTTTATAAACTTTTTTTTTCTGTTTTTGGCTAGTTTGGTATTGTTTTGCTGATTTTTATGTTATTTTTGTATTGATTAACCAATTTTTTAATCGTTTTATCAGCTTTTTCTTGTTTTGTAGCTGCCCTGATGTTTTCTTGAGTGTGTGTTTTTTGTGCAAGTTTTGGTCCTTTTTTTGGGTGAAATATTAGCCTTTTTGCTGGTTTGAAGTGTTAAAATGCTCAAGGTGGAAAAAAGAAGAAAAAATAAATGCTTTTAGGCAACTCAGAGTACTTTCATTGCGCTTGACAAACACCCAAGATATGTTTAATACGAAAAGCTCAATGCGAGATTGATACAACATAAAACGACTACTTTTACTACAACTCCAAATTCTCATCTTCTCTCTTTTCAAAGTGAGACCAATCCTTCCTCTCTTACTTCTTTTTTAAACGTAATGCATTTCTATGAGCGTTGTTTATCATTTCTCAACTAGGCACATTAGGCTAGTCTCGCTTCCTCTTTGCTCACATAGGAGAATGAATCTGTATGACTACAAGGCATTCTAAGAGTTGGTAATATTCCCTCCCTGGAAGTGGGTTGTGCCATTTTCTTGGTGTAGAAAAGTATGGAAATGTGAAACTAGGATCAACATAAAAATTATAAATGTCAACAATGTCGCACATGAAAAGTGCTAATTCTATTGATTTCATCCAATTCATTTGGCACCTTTTCATTATACGATAGATAGGAACAGAGTTTCCAAATTTTCGTTATAATTGCATTGAAGTCTCTATGAATGACACTTTTAATTATAAGCACCTTATCGACCGTTGAGAAATCATGTTTCTAGCGGCACCTCGCAGAACTAAGCGAAAATCTC